TTATTTTTTTTTTTTCTCTTTTCTTTTTTTTCTTTTCTTTCTTCTTTTTTTCTCTCTCTCTTAGTCTTACTTTCCCTTCTATACCTCTAGGACCTGCTCTAACCTCTTTTCTATCACTTCTAAACAATGCTTTTATATAACGGACACAATTTAGATGGAATTTAATTATATATAAACATAATTAATTATTAATTATACCTGGAAATATGCAGTTTTATTATAAATGAATATTTAATGAATGAATTGTAATGTGCGAGAGGAATAATGTTTATGTATGATATATTTGCATTGTTATAAATTTGGAAAAAAATAAAAAATTACAAAAAAAAATGTCTGAAAGAGAACAGACTGTTGACAAGGAAAGGATAAAGGCTAAGGTTGTTATCAGGACTCTGTTTTGTCAGTTTAAGATTATTATCAGGACTCCGCTCTGTCAGTTTAAGATTGTTATCGGGACATTGTTTTGTCAGCTAAAGATTGTTATCAGGACTTTGTTTTGTCAGCTACACATTGTTGTCTACTCTACTTTTGAATTGATTCTCTGATCTGGCTTACAGGGATACGAGTACTCTCGGAGTGGCAACCCTACCCGTAATTGTTTAGAACAATGCATAGCCTCTATAGAAGGAGCGAAGTATGGTATGTATATCTTATCTAAGACATCCTTGACCCTTTCACCCCTCTGCAACTTTAGTAGACTCAACCATGCATTGATCTGGATGAGTCCATTATGGTCTACAGTGGTGAAATGGTTAAATGACCTTAGCTGTTAATAAGACGTTAAACAAAATAAAACCAAACCTTATCTAAAATTCTCTGTTATTGAAGTCAAAATAAATCTTATGTATTAAACATGTTTGCCATGGAGTTGAAAATCATTCATATCTAGACATATTGATAAATGTATACTAATTGATATAGATTATGTTCAAAATGCAAGGGTGGAGATTTGAATTTTAAAGCAAAATAATAATTGAACGTGAAGTTTACACTGGTGACACTTAAATTGTCAGCTTTTTCCTATTTTATAACTTTTTAATTATGTTTTAAGCTGACAACTTTGTATGTATATTTCAGGGATGGTGTTCGCCTCTGGTGTTACAAACTGAAAATATTGTATGTATATTTCAGGGATGGTGTTCGCCTCTGGTGGTACAAACTGATGTTTTTTTTATATTTCAGGAAAGGTGTTCGCCTCTGGTGGTACAAACTGATAATTTTGTATGTATATTTCAGGGATGGTGTTTGCCTCTGGTGGTACAAACTGATTATTTTGTATATATATTTCAGGGATGGTGTTCTCCTCTGGGCTGGCTACCACCACTGCCATCACTCACCTACTGAAGGTGGGTGATCACATCGTCAGCATGAATGATCTCTATGGCGGTAAGTTTTCATTTTGAATGAAAGACAAAATGGTAAAAGTTTCATGCAGAACCAGTAAATACATTTTAAAAATCATGGCATTGTCACAAATGAGTGTTAAATGCTTTCACTTTTTTTTACTTGACAAGTTCATGGTAAACAGAAAATACAAAAATTCTTTTGCCAAAAAAATTTGCTATTATCTTTAATGCTGACACATGTTTTCCAAACAAATATTGTTTGAAGAATATTTTTTTTATGAATTGTTTTATAAGTGTGTGTGACAGATGAAGATGAATGATCAGGAAGTACATATGTGTGTACCTTACCCTAATTATAACCCTACCATACCTTAACATAACACCAATTTCAAGTAGATTGGATGTCACTGCTTTGATAGAACGGTTGAACCCACTTGTAAGCGACTAGATACAGGTAGTACAGTACCGATATCTAGTACACTCCTGTAAATGGTAATTTACTGACGTGTTTCTTACAGGCACTAACAGATACTTCAAGCAAGTGGCGTCCAGGAATGGAATTGAAACATCATTTGTTGATTGCACTGTACCAGAGAAAGTTGCGGCTGCAATCAAACCAAACACTAGGGTAGGTCTGTAAGTCACTATTGGAGATCAAGACTTTCTGATAACATCTAGGAATTAAGTGATACACGATTTATTTCATTCAGAGAATCATATTTTTTCCCACACTGGTTTATTACCATTTAGGAAAAGATATATCTCTTTTTCCTAGGTAGAGATCATAGCTCTCTAGCACTTTGGTCTATGTCCACAATGGAAAATAATGTTTCCATTACAGTGAACATTTTGTAAGGGTGATGCAAGCTGTGCATTATGCACAGTATTATTATCCCCTCGCAACGAAAGTTGGAGGAGATATGGGATTCTACCTGTACGTATGTTACACTCTTTGTCATCGCTCTAGCAACTTAATTCCTCAACAGAATTTCATGAAACTTGATACAAATGTTTGGTATGGCAATATCTTGGAACAAGTTCGCGTTTCAGGTTACTGCATTTAAGGTCAAGGTCATTTTTACTAATTTTTTTCGCTCTAGCGACTTCCTTTTCTCTTACATGTCACAATGTGTGAATGCAAGGGAATTTGTATCACTTGTGATGCCTTGTTATACCTTGATTTGTCTTCAAATCTTCTGTGTAATTGCACAACTACCATAAATTTTGTTGATGCTAATGAAAATTCTGACCCACAAATGGACCTCCTACTGACCTCTGTTACAGATGGTGTGGATGGAGACTCCCACGAACCCCACCATGCAGCTAGTGGATATTGAAGCTGTGGTCAACGTGGTCAAGAAGGTCAAGGCCGCCGACCAAGACATCTTTGTGGTCGTGGACAACACATTCATGTCCTCTTACTTCCAGGTAGGTGTGAAGGGTAAACAAGAAACAGCGTTGGCAACGAACCGGTAACTGTACTGATAGGACCAGCCTGTTCAAAGTCGAAACAATGCAGATCCTTTTACTGTAGTGCTGGTTGGCAAATCCTGAATGTGCATGTAAATGTTGATGCCGCTATAATGTATAAGATTTTGGGCTTTGAAGCAATCTTGTCCTACAGCCTTAAGTATTGGGTCAACTCCACATAATTACGCTTGCTCGGCATGAAGAAAAGAATCCACTCTTGCTACCATGATTGCCCCTAGGACCCTGCTGACCCCTGGGGACTTAGTCTTTTTGTTTTATAGATGAAGGTATTATCACATTTGGTATAAGGATCATGGACCAAGGGCACAGATGATAGATTAAATGTATGGCATGGGCCAGTAATGAAACATGTAAAGACCTTTTTGCTTCTGTTCACGTTTATTGTACTCTTTTTAATATACCTGTACCATATTCGACACATTTTTAACCCAACGCAGTGAGGGGGGTATATACGGGTAGTATTTGCTTTGTCAGTGCGTCTGTTGATGTGTGCGTGCGCTTGTGCATCCATAGTAAAAACTTGTGTACGAGATATCTCGTGAACCTCTCAACATATTTAGTTCATGACTATACACACAAATCCCTCAAAAAATTTAGTTTATATTTACACAATAGTATGGTAATAATGATTGCTACACCTGATTTTGATTGTCATCAGTCATGGATAAAGGTCAAACGTAACAGGCAAAAGATGGGGGGGGGGTATATCTATGTGTGCCTCTGCTCACTTTTTTTTTTTTTTTCCATTAATTTAATACAAGAAAATAGAGCAGGTGAGCTTTTGAGGCCTCCTAGCCTCCTGTTTTTGTACAATGGATAAACAAATGCATACAAAGAAATGATTGCAATAATTGTAAACCATATAAAGCTTGTTCTACTGTTAAAAAAAATGTTGAGTTACCAACAAAATTTTATCATCAAATATCATGAGGGTTTTGTTTGAAAATGTATTGAAAAATGTATAGATGTATTGAGAAATTTGCAAATTTTGTGCTTGTTAGAGCTTGAAAAGAAAAATGCTAATGAAGTATATTATTAAGAGTAGGAACCAGGCTGGTTTGTTTGTAATGAGAACCGTTTTGTTTTGCAGAGACCGTTAAGCTTAGGAGCTGATATCGTGATGCATTCCCTGACCAAGTATATGAATGGTAAGATTTAATGATATCCCAGTATGAAAAAAAATCTCAACATCGGACCATAAAAAAGCTGTGATGCTGTTTTCCTTGTTCTTGGTACAGGGGTCACCTATCTGTCTCTAGAACAGTTCACTGTAGTTCATATAGGTATATATATATACATATACAGAAGTACAGAGGTCACCTTAAATATTCACTTTTTCAGGTCACTCCGATTCCGTGATGGGTGCATTGGCCACTAACAACCAAGTATATAGTGATAGACTCCGATTCCTGCAAAATGGTAAATATTTAGTGATATACAAAATGTACTGAATGTACAGGATTGACTTCCTGTGGTGTTATTATCACATTTCCTGTATAAATTGTGGAAATCACAGTTCAGTCCATAATATTTTAACAAACTGAAATATTTGACTTTTTTTTTATGTTAATTAGATCGTAGTGCATGACTGACAGTATCACTGGTTTACATGCTAGGGTTAAATGTACTCCTATAACATGATGGTCGCTGGTCGGCCTTTTTTCTATAGGATATGATTTTGCCGGCTACACACAGCGCCTGTCAAAAGTATCTTGCCGTGTAAACCTCTAACACTGTTGGAGTAAGGTTTAATGTATTGTTTTTCAATTACAAACTACCATTTTATTCAAAGAAATTGATTTAATCATTAAGAAAGCCTAGTCACTCCATATATGATTAATTATGGATTTTAATATTTCTTTGATGATATAGAACCTTCTCAATGGTGATAGTGTTTTGCATACGGTAAACCTCCGGTCAGTTTGAATAGGCGGATATTTCAAACACACTTTTTGAACAATAAAAATATTAATTTTCTGTCTCGTGATAGTTCGAACCCTAGGCCTGCTTACACACCATTATTCATCATCAGATTTGCAAATACATATCGCAATAAGGCCGTCATGGTTCCGTATCAATGACTTGACTGTTTGCCTTGATTTTTGCCGAGGTCGACTCGGATAGTTCAAACTACTCTTTATTTTAGCAGCTATAATTTCGTGTAATTCAAACAGGATTGACAATATTTACTTAATTTTGTTCTAACTGACCGGAGGTTTAACGTAGGTCAAATATTTCAATTACCTAGATGAAGGTTGGGTTTTGAATCTTGTTAATTAACCGGGACTCAAATTCTGAATGAATAACAGCCCTATTTCCAATTCATGATATTCAAATTTCTGGCACAGTTATATATTTTCTACACCAGAATGGAGCATTCTTATAGCGAAGGATGAAATTACCACTGCATGAGCAAAAACTGGGAAGAAGACTGATGGCTTACAATGTACAGTACTGCAGTTATTTTCATCACATTTTTAGCTAATATCTAGTTATGTTGTACAGGTAAATTGTACAATTTTTGTATTGATAACCTTTTTTTTCTGCAGCATTTGGACCAGTTCCATCACCTTTCGATTGTTACCTGGTAAACAGAGGACTTAAGACACTCCATGTCAGGATGAAGGAACACATGAAAAATGGTTTAGCTGTAGCACACTTTCTGGAGAAACACCCATGTGTTGTTAAAGTTATCCATCCAGGTTTGTACAAATGTAGTTCTAAAGTTATCTACCCTAGCACCTACTCATATAGGCCAAGAGTTATCTATCTTAGTATGTACCAATGTAGGCCTAAAGTTATCTACCCTAGTACCGGCCTAGATTTATCTACCCTAGCACCTACTCATATAGGCCAAGAGTTATCTATCTTAGTATGTACCAATGTAGGCCTAGAGTTATCTACCTAGGTATGTACCAATGTAGGCCTAAAGTTATCTATCTTAGTATGTACCAATGTAGGCCTAACGTTATCTACCCTAGCACCTATTCATATAGGTCAAGTGTTATCTATCTTAGTATGTACCAATGTAGGGCTAAAGTTATCTACCCTAGCACCTACTCATATATGCCAAGAGTTATATACCTAGGTATGTACCAATGTAGGCCTAACGTTATCTACCCTAGCACCTATTCATATAGGTCAAGTGTTATCTATCTTAGTATGTACCAATGTAGGCCTAACGTTATCTACCCTAGCACCTACTCATATATGCCAAGAGTTATATACCTAGGTATGTACCAATGTAGGCCTAAAGTTATCTACCCTAGTACCGGCCTAGAGTTATCTACCCTAGCACCTACTCATATAGGCCAAGAGTTATCTATCTTAGTATGTACCAATGTAGGCCTAAAGTTATCTACCCTAGTACCGGCCTAGAGTTATCTCCCCTAGCACCTACTCATATAGGCCAAGAGTTATCTATCTTAGTATGTACCGGTGTAGACCTAAAGTTATCTACCCTAGTACCTACTCATATAGGCCAAGAGTTATCTATCTTAGTATGTACCAATGTAGGCCTAAAGTTATCTACCCTAGCACCTACTCATATAGGCCAAGAGTTATCTACCTAGGTATGTACCAATGTAGGCCTAAAGTTATCTACCCTAGCACCTACTCATATAGGCCAAGAGTTATCTATCTTAGTATGTACCAATGTAGGCCTAAAGTTATCTACCCTAGCACCTACTCATATAGGCCAAGAGTTATCTACCTAGGTATGTACCAATGTAGGCCTAAAGTTATCTACCCTAGCACCTACTCATATAGGCCAAGAGTTATCTATCTTAGTATGTACCAATGTAGGCCTAAAGTTATCTACCCTAGCACCTACTCATATAGGCCAAGAGTTATCTACCTAGGTATGTACCAATGTAGGCCTAAAGTTATCTACCCTAGCACCTACTCATATAGGCCAAGAGTTATCTATCTTAGTATGTACCAATGTAGGCCTAAAGTTATCTACCCTAGCACCTACTCATATAGGCCAAGAGTTATCTACCTAGGTATGTACCAATGTAGGCCTAGAGTTATCTACCTAGGTATGTACCAATGTAGGCCTAACGTTATCTACCCTAGCACCTACTCATATAGGCCAAGTGTTATCTACCTAGGTATGTACCAATGTAGACTTAAAGTTATCTACCTAGGTATGTACCAATGTAGGCCTAGAGTTATCTACCTAGGTATGTACCAATACATGCCTAGAGTTATCTACCCTAGCACCTACTCATATAGGCCAAGAGCTATCTACCTAGGTATGTACCAATGTAGGCCTAGAGTTATCTACCTAGGTATGTACCAATGTAGGCCTAACGTTATCTACCCTAGCACCTACTCATATAGGCCAAGTGTTATCTACCTAGGTATGTACCAATATAGGCCTAGAATTATCTACGAAGGTATGTACCAATGTAGGCCTAAAGTTATCTACCCTAGCACCTATTCATATAGGCCTAGAGTTATCTACCTAGGTTTGTACCAATGTAGGCCTAATGTTATCTACCCTAGCACCTACTCATATAGGCCAAGAGTTATCTACCTAGGTATGTACCAATGTAGGCCTAACGTTATCTACCTAGGTATGTACCAATGTAGGCCTAGAGCTATCTATCCTAGTACCAGACTAGAGTTATCTATCCTAGTGTAGGCCTAGAGTTATCTATCCTAGCAGCTTCTCATGTAGGCCTAGAGTTATCTACCTAGGTATGTACCAATACATGCCTAGAGTTATCTACCCTAGGAATGTACCAATGTAGGCCTAGAGCTATCTACCTAGGTATGTACCAATACAGGCCTAGAGTTATCTACCCTAGGAATGTACCAATGTAGGCCTAGAGTTATCTATCTTAGTACCGGCCTAGAGTTATCTACCCTAGAACCTTCCAATGTAGGCATAGAGTTATCTACCCTAGCCCCTTCTCAGCTAAGCCAGAGTTATTTACCTAGGTATATACTAATGTAGGCCTAGCGATATATTTACCTATGTACCAATTTTGGCTTGGAGTTAATATTTTCCCTGGTAGGTATCACTGTTAACATTGGCCTGGAGTTGTCTACCCTGCTATGTATCAGTTATGTAAATTTTGGTATGGACTTTAGGGAGAGGATGTAACCAGTTACTGTATTTGAGTATACAGTGTTCTACACAATCAAGTATCTAATTAGTAGTAATGTATTGGTGGTCGGAGAGTACAGTGAATAACGCATGGATATGGAGTCACCTGCCTGTATGTTCTTCTTTATGAGTACTTTAGTTTGTCCTTGTACTGTACGTAGTGGAGCGGTATATAGTTATCACAATGCATGTCTGCACATCTGTCCATCTCTTTGTATGTCTGTAGAAAAAAGTGTGTGTGTACAATATCTCGTAAACACCTCAGCAGATTTAAATTTACAACATGGTTTTGAAACTTTTGACACTGTATTAGATAATTTGTGGTCATCGGTCAACGTTATAGGGTCACATGTCAAAATTGACCATTTTGGAGTGTGAAGTTTGTGTAAAAGATAACTTGCGAGCTCCTCGAGAAAGTGTGTTTATATTTTCACCAGAACATATTTCTATAAAGTTTTACTTCTGGTTAAATTTTGGTGGGTATTTGTCAATGTTAAAGGGCAAAGTGAAAATGGCAAAGTGAAAATGGCAAAGTGAAAATGGCAAAGTGAAAATCTTGTGTACAAGATATCTCATGAACCCCTCAACAAATTTAGTACACCCTACCTATATGGTGGTCATCCAGAATCTACACTTGATTAGATTCTGATGGTCATCAGTCAAATTTTAAGGGTCAAAGGTCACACTTGACCAATTTGCGGGGGTTGAGGGTATATCTATGTGAGCCTCCACACACTTTGTTTTTTATTTCACCTCTAATATGTACAGTTGCCATATCTAGACTCTACATTGATTTGTGTTATCAGGGCTACCATCTCACCCTCAGCATGAACTGGCCAAGAGACAGATGAGAGGCTTCAGTGGCATGGTGTCATTTTACATTAAGGGAGGTCTGAATGAGGCTTCAATCTTTCTCAAAAAACTCAAGGTAACAATGCTACACTCCAGAACTATGATAGTGCCAAAAATATGGAATCACATTATAAAAGTTGAAATGCTAGCAGATTTTTCGCATTGAGTAAATCATCCCGAAAACGTCCCCACACAACTATTTATTTACAGATTATATAAATTATAGATATAAAGAAGATATTAAGATCTTTTAACCATTGCCATCGTGACAACAGTGTTGGGGTTCAACTTTGTCTGTTAATTGAACTTCATGTGACTGATTCATTTATAAAAAATTTCAGCATTTTCACATCACAACCTGTCTAGTTTGGGTCCCTAACGAAGATACGGGTGCCCTGTCCGTCCGTCCACAAATTTTGTTCCTGGCTGGTAACTTTGGTATTTATTGACTGATTTACATGAAACTTGGTCAAGATGTTCAGTTTACAAAAATACACTCTGAGGTAAAAAGTCAAGGTCATTAGGTTCAAAAGTCAAGGTCAAATTCTGCATCCTTTCATTGATGAACATTTTGTTATGACATGATGAAGCAAAGTTGATCAGAATTAAACAAGGAGTCAACTGACCAAAGGTCAAGGTCGTCATAAGTTAGGGTCACTGGGTCAAAGGTCAAGGTCAAATTTAGTATCTTTTCACTGGTGAACATTTCGTTACGACACTTTGAAGCAATGTTGGTCGGAATTAAAAAGGAATCATTTGACCAAAGGTCACGGTCAAGGTCATATTTTGTATCTTTTCACTGATGAACATTTTGTAATGACATTATGAAGGAAAGTATGGTGGGAATTTAACAAGGAGTCAACCGACTTCAGGTCAAGGTTACTGAGTCAATGTCAAGGTCAAATATTGTATATTTTTTACTGATGAACATTTTTTGAATGTTATTATGAAGCAAAGCCTTTGAGAACTTGGCACAGAGTCAACTGACCAAAGACGGAATTAATGAATAAGTCAACTGACTAAAGATCAGGGTCACTGGGTAAAAGGTCAAGATCATTTGGGTCCAAAGGTCAAAGACAAATTGGATCTCTGACTTTGACCCTCTTGATGAGGGAGGTATTTAAGGTGAAATAAAACAAATCAAAGCTAACAAATGAGTATTGCACCGGTATTTGCATTTCTGTTAGCCCAGCAAATATGGAGGTGGAAGGAAACAAGACTCACATCATAGTACATGTAAAATGTATATTTTGCTTCCTTGTGGATCTGTTTGAAATCCAAATATCAAACGTCAAGCTCAGCTATATAGGCAGATTGCTTCTTGATGATTATGGCGGATGTATTGCCACAAGACGGGGCCCTTACTGACCTGTCTGTGTTGGTTTTTACTTTGATAAAAAAATTATCTGATCCCATCTGCAAACTAATAGATCTGGAGATATAGTACTGAAACAGCTATATAATGTTTTTAAAATCTTTTTCATCCATATTCCTCCCAATATTACAGGTTTTCACCCTAGCCGAAAGTTTAGGAGGCTTTGAAAGTTTGGCTGAACTTCCGTAAGTACATTGACACAATTTCCATACCATATGGAACTGCCATAGGTACCGACATTTCAACAGTTCTTCTCTCTAAAATCCTTTCAAGTATCAGTCAGTATGTCCACAGTTATGTTAGAAATTTAGTCTGCAAGACCGTCATTTAATGTCAGAAATGTTACTATACTTTATAAGTATTCCATCTTTGCGTATTGCAGAGTTATCTTCTCTTGAGAGCAGGTATTGATTGTTACATCATTTGTTTGTGAGAGTAACGTCATCAATTTTTGAGAAAACGCCAAAATTTTCTCACACGAACCAATGACGTAACAATTAATACCTGCTCTCAAGAGAAGATAACTCTGCATTGCACAAAGACGGAGTACCTGTACTTCAAGCTTATAGACTGTTGACTAGCATTATTGTGGAGATGTTTGTTGTAAGTATCATTATTTGATCTCTTAGCTCTGTGATGACGCATGCCTCCGTACCTGCGGAGGAACGGGAACAGTTGGGGATCACTGACAATCTTATCCGCCTATCCGTAGGCCTAGAGGACGAGGTGGACCTTCTGGATGACCTTGATCAGGCTTTGAAATCAGCAGTAAGTTATATCAAAGAAACAAAGCTTAAATATACTTTCAGTACAACAGGGCCTTGTAAAGCAGTAAAGATAGTTCTTGCATACTTGCTGGGAAATTCTATTTGACCCACGGGTCTGGATCGCTAACACACGCAAACTGTTGGGGGAATAAGAGTGACCTTTCGGGGTCACACTATTGTTCGTGACGTCATTTTATGACTTTTTGGGGTCAGTCAGGGTCATTGACATCATTTACAATTGCCATCCGGGCTTCATATGCAAAAGAGAATTGATGAACAGTGTACAACTTTACTAGAAGAGAAGTTTTTTTTTACGGGTTTAAGGTAATAAGCAAGAAATAAAATCCATCCCTGATGTGAGGTATGGATAAGGAAATTCAAACCCTGTGGAAAAAATATTGAGCAAAAGACCCTCGGGTCAATAAGCCAGCATACTAGCTACCTACTGTGGTGTGCCACTCCCAACATTCCTATAGGACTTCAATACTTAATGACCTTAGCTGTTGATAGTCCATTAAACCCTAAACAACCAACCTATAGGACTTGCGTCCTTATATGACCTTAGCCATTGATAGGATGTTAACCCCTACACAACCAACCTATAGGACTTGTGTCCTGAAATGACCTTGGCTGTTGATAGGACGTTAAATCCTACACAACCAACATATAGGACTTGTGTCCTTAAATGCCCTTCGCTGTTGATAGGACGTTAAACCTAAACAACCAACATATAGGACCTGCATCCTTTTGTGACCGTAGCCATTGATAGGATGTTAAACCCTACACAACCAATCTATAGGACTTGTGTCCTTAAATGACCTTGGCCGTTGATAGGATGTTAAACCCTACACAACCAACATATAGGTCTTGCGTCCTTAAATGACCGTTGCTGTTGATAGGACATTAAACCCTACACAACCACCCTATAGGACTTGCGTCCTTAAATGACCTTGGCTGTTGATAGGATGTTATACCCTACACAACCAACCTATAGGACTTGCATCCTTAAATGACCTTGGCTGTTGATAGGATGTTATACCCTACACAACCAACCTATAGGACTTGCGTCCTTAAATGACCGTCACTGTTGATAGGACGTTAAACCCTAAACAACCAACCTATAGGACTTGTGTCCTTAAGTGACCTTCGCTGTTGATAGGATGTTAAACCCTACACAACCAATCTATAGGACTTGCGTCCTTAAATGACCTTAGCCATTGATAGGATTTTAAACCCTACCCAACCAACCTATAGGTCTTGCGTCCTTAAATGACCTTAGCTGTTGAAAGGATGTTAAACCTACACAACCAATCTATAGGACTTGCGTCCTTAAATGACCTTAGCTGTTGATAGGAAGTTAAACCTAAACAACCAATCTATAGGACTTGCGTCCTTAAATGACCTTAGCTGTTGATAGGAAGTTAAACCTAAACAACCAATCTATAGGACTTGCGTCCTTAAATGACCTTCGCTGTTGATAGAACGTTGTACCTGAACAAGAGACAAAATGTATAATAAACATCTCAAAACATCATTTTTATATAATTTCAGGCGCTGTAGACTTGTATGGAGCTATGAGATGATAGGAGCCTAGTGAAGGATGAATGCTGGACTACAGTAAAAAAAACAAGATCTTACAAAACAATTCATCAACATTTTCTCTACAGTAAAAAACAGATTTTACCAAGTAATCAGCATTACTGCAGTGTTCATCCAAATCCTAACAAATTATTTGTGCTTTCTCTACAGTAAAAAACAGATTTTACCAAGTAATCAGCATTACTGCAGTGTTCATCCAAATCCTAACAAATTATTTGTGCTTTCTCTACAGTAAAAAAATGGATTTTACCAAGTAATCAGCATTTTCACTGCAGTATTTATCCAAATCCTAACAAATTATTTGTGCTTTCTCTACAGTAAAAAATTGGATTTTACCAAGTAATCAGCATTTTCACTGCAGTATTTATCCAAATCCTAACAAATTATTAGTGCTATCTCTACAGTAAAAAAAAAAAGGTCTTGCCAAGTGCTACCACAAATACCTGTTACATACTTACATATCCACCTATAAATAATTATATTGATGACATAGATGATTATCACACTGCACATAACACCAGTCATGATTATTTTTAATCTTGAACCCGTTAGATTGTTATCCGACACTTCACCTACCAATAATGGCAATGTTATACAAAAACCTATCTTTGGGGAAAAGTTTGTATTTTGAAAATATTATTAAAAATGAAATAGAACTTTTCTACTGATTTACTGTATCATTATGTACCTGGTACCTGGAAATATTATTCGTCATTTAATCAGTGATAAAATCATGATTTATTCCTATGATATGTTTTGAATTACTTGTATTAAAAATCAATTTTCTATAATAGCTCACCTGTCTTAAAAGGGCAAGTAAGATTATGCCTTCGCACTAGCCCTGAATGACTGAGTAGAAAACCCCACGAGATTTGTTATACAGATGTATGAAGGGATTACCTTTGGTTTAAAGAATCCTTGAAAAAGGTATGGCCATACTGTGGAATGAAAACTCATTTCGTATGCCTGTATAATATTTGACCTGTTTTTAATTTGAAATATCAGGTGAGCTTTTAAGGCCCTTGGGCCACTTATTTACCTATCGTGCACCAGATCTGATAAAATTTACATGTTCAAGCTGCTGGTTTTATCATGGAAATGTTTTTGATTTCGTTGTGTTTTACTGACTGTTTTTACAACTTTTATTTAATCTACAATTAAGATATATTCCATATGAAAAATTTAAAGATAGTATACATATTGACCAATTCATTATTGTGTTTTGTATACAGGTACCTGTTGTAAGGTCACCTTTGATGTTGCTGAATTATTATTATATTATGGGTGGGGGGTTTAAAACCAGATCTGCATACCATTCCTGATATTAAATAACTATGTATTTGATGCGTGTGGTGGGGTCTCTGAGAAAGTGCCTCCCACTCCTTCTCTGCAGTTATTTATGGAACAGCCATTAGTGGAAGTTGTTTAGTTTGTTTTAAAAGATGGTTAATAGAATCTTCCCCTACCTTGAGGGTGTGGCAGAGAAATCTCCAAAACGAGGGGTGATGTATTTTGGTTGTCTTAACCCGAGGGTCTGCCGAGGGTTAGACAACCAAAATAATTGCCCAGAGGGTTGGAGATGTCTCTGTTACACCCTATCTCCTCCTAGGGGGTGACAAGCTGATCTTTCCTGGCAAAAACGGGAGACACCCCTGTGAAGGGTGGGAGAAAATACAACATGTTAATGTTTCTGTGGAAGTTGTTAAAGTTTTGCATAATCAATCGTATAAGGGTAAAAATCTCATTTCAATCAGAAAATGTCCGACATAACAGGTACTGGTATTAATTAAAATGATTATTCAGTTCACATAAAAACGATGTTTACACTTACCTGGTAAAATATCAATTGTGACTATAATAACCTGGTAAAATATCAATTGTGACTATAATAACCTGGTAAAATATCAATGGTGACTATAATAACCTGGTAAAATATCAATTGTGACTATAATTACCCAGAAGACTCCTTCTCCATGTGTATGTACTTGCAAATCCTGTTTTATGACCAAGAATGTATGTGTAAAATTCAGGCATAATAAAATATTATTTTCTTCTTATTCAGTGGTTGTCTTGTTGTAATTTCATAAAGGTATATATTGTGATAGGACAACAATAAACCTGTTTCAAGTTCATGGATGAAGCCCTTTGCTTAACTTTAAAAATGTTACCCTTGGTATAAGACGTTTGTCTACATTACCTGTACATAAAAGTGATGAAATTATTATTCTCCCACAAAGGATGGGTGTACCCACCGCTTTGTTCACAATGGTTAAGACAAGCTGCACATGCTACTATAGACAAGGCTTGAACAAAATCATGGCAGGAAATTCATTCGATTACTGGAAAATAATGTATTTAATGCTTGTATTTACAGTGACAAAATAAAATTAATTCCCTACCTTGGAAGCAAGACCTATTGTGTATGCGTAAGATGAAATCTTAATTTTTATCTTGTTCATATTTTATAAGTTTTGATGACACTTTATGAAATTTGATGTGTAGCTGCGTATCATAGATTAGATGCTGTATGCAATAATTCCGTCTGCGTATTGCAGAGTTATCTTCTCTTGAGAGCAGGTATTGATTGTTATGCCACTTGTTTGTGAGAGTAACGTTATCAATTTTTGAGAAAACGATGTAATTTTCTCACACAAACCAATGATGTAACAATCAATACCTGCTCACAAGAGAAGATAACTCTGCAATACGCAAAGATGGAATTAACTAGGTCCCTTCCTCTACCATTTGAGGTTAAAGGTCAAATTATTATTTTCAAAAAAATAGTTTCAGCCATACTGGTGTTACATTTAAACTGTCAAAAAGATCTTCATAAAATTTTGAACTGTATCTGCATCCTCCAATTCTGTGGCCAGACAAAACTACAGAGTTGGTTTTGTTAATATGCATCTACAGTTTTTGGTCACTGGAGTGTATGAAATGCGAGTAACTAGCATATGCTGTGGAGCAGCGTCCATTGTCCATCCATCTACACAATGTCAATTGCTCACCTGGTCTTCAGTGCTGGTGAACTTGTACGATAGTGCAGTGTTCCCTCAACTTTTACCTATGAAACCTTTCTCCTGAACGTCTGATCAGATTTCCACTAAATTTGCTTTGTTGCATAAAAAGATTTCATCAAATTTTGTGTGACCCCCAGCACGACTATAGCTTTGATAATAATAATATACAACATTTGATATCGTGCCCTAGCTAACATTAGCCACTCTACTTTGGTGTAGGACTGTGCTTCCAACTGCATCTTTTATAGTGCCACCTCACTTGAATGCTACATCACAGATGATTAATAAGTTCCGAAATAAAAACCATACCTTGTGGTACTTTTGATTTTTAATGAGAAATAATGAAGATGAAATAAACAAAATATCATGTTCTGAGTGAACAAATTCAGCTTTTGTTATCAATGTCATGGGTTATACTGGACTTCAGATTGTTATACCATCGCTCTAACCAAATAAGCTATCTAGTCAACAGAAGTGTCCTGGCTTAACTTGTTATATCCAACAGTTAAAGGGAGGTAATTATAACATTTCTGTCTCTTTTTGCTCTTTTGATACACATGGTTACATTCGCGTATCTGGTTGAACCTGTAAAGAAAACGACAGGCACAGATCTGAACCGAGGCCGACTTCAGGAAAATTTGGCAGGTGTAGATTGAGGGGTCCAGACGTACCTGACCGAAACTAAAATGCTCACTATTGCTAGTTTGCGTTATTTCTTTCTAAAATGATGTCAAGCCACATGTAGTTTTCAAGATACGTTATGTAATTCAGTGGACGCATGAAATTCTTGATTGTGTTTTATTCTCTGAAACTGCATTTTTAGCTCTGCTTATAGAACGGTCCAAGTGTGTTCGTTAATCGTGGAAAATTTCTGCACCACACATACCGTTTCAACCGGTATATGCGAATGTAGCCCAGGTGAAGGTCAATGACTTATTTACTGCACAGCGACACAAATTAAGATTTTTGTTACAAGAATAAATACCCCACTTCATATACTAGGTACATCCATCACAATATACCTCTGTAAACTACATGTAACAAACAGCTTAATGGGTACATCAGAACCGTGTACATAATTCTTACTTTTTCTTGCACCAACAGAGTTTTCACTATTTGTCCCTTGTTCTCCTTACTGTAGATAAAACAAAACTAATAAATTATGTAAAATGATTTATTTTCTTTTTTCCCATTGCAGATCATTTGGTAACATTTTGGTGGAAATCAATATTATAAACAACAGAATAGCTAAGACATGATTAATACAGGTACAGGGCAATCACATGTAACTGGGTGTGCTACATCATTATTGTGGTGAACCCCATGATGTGATGCTACACATTGATAACACTGCTATAATATTCAATTTTTTCTCTTTCTCCATTTCACATACCTCTGATGTAATATGTGCAGCAAATCTTTATTGAATGATGAACTAATCCTCCCCCTAGTTCACAACAGCATCAATACTGAGAAGACAATTCAGTACATCAAGGTACCAAGATAAGACCAAGTACCACCATAATATGATGACAGGTAAATTTGAGGATATCCTAAAGTATAAAATCTTTAGAGGTATGAATTGAGAGAATACTAGATGATGCAAATACCATCATGATGCACAATATGTACATGGCTAGTAAATGTATGTCACGCTGGAGTATACAAGTTGATGGAGGTACCAAGGGCCCTATGTACATGGTAAGGTGTGTGGGCATGGTGGACACTAGAAGCTTCTGTGAGTACTACAGATAGATATTCATGTATTAAGGTACTGTTGTGATGTGGGATATACAAGCTTTAGGTTATTATCACAATCCACAGACGTACATGTACATGGCGTGGAATATACAAGCCGATTGGAGTACCACATACCACAACGTATATAGGGTGAGTAATCTTTGGAGTATAAATTGTGATTTAAACTGGCGTGAAGGTGGTTCATATTCAGCATACTTCAATAATATATACAATAAATTAAATGGTAAAATGTACAAAGATGTATGGATGTTTGTAAGTTCTGGAATTGTTTATTCTTCAAGGGTAGATGATATTCACCAAATCATTTTTTGTAAAATTAAAGAAGAACAATAAAAATGAATTTGGGTGGTCATATCTTGCAGACACTTTTCAAAATCTATGGTCCCTTCCCAATAGTCAAATTTAAAATTGAGCAGAACAATATAACCTCATTAAGAGACACAGTCTTCTTTTAAATGCAAAAACTTATAATTCAGTGAGTGTACAAAATGTAATTGTTGTATTTCTTAGTTATTGGTCAAATAAAATAAGCAACATCAAGTTTTTTGGTGACCAGGCTGACCATCATTCTTCCTTACCGTAATCTATATACTGACAATACATGTAATTGCATATACACGTATATATATTAAGTATATTGTTTGTTTTGCATAATCAAAATAAAGTATATAAATGACATACATGTATAAGGTTAACGCCTCCCCACTTTCGTTGATGAGACTTACCTATGTAATGAAGGTAAGTCTCTCTGTTTTAGTTTAAGCAGTTAGTAAAACCAACGCCTACCACTAGGCGCACTGTTGTAACAAGGCCTGGCATACTACACACAAACTGTAGTAGGATCACCAACGTGATGAGGCTCAATACACAGGAACACGCACATTCACACATCTCGCTACCACTACGAGCACTGTTGTAACGAGGCCTGGCATACTACACACAAACTGTAGTAGGATCACCAACGTGATGAGGCTCAATACACAGGAACACGCACATTCACACATCTCGCTACCACTACGAGCACTGTTGTAACGAGGCCTGGCATACTACACACGAACTGTAGTAGGATCACCAACGTGATGAGGCTCAATACACAGGAACACGCACATTCACACATCTCGCTACTACTAGGCGAACTGTTGTAACGAGGCCTGGCATACTACTCACAAACTGTAGTAGGATCACCAACATGATGAGGCTCAGTACAGTACATACACTCAAACACACACACGTTCACACATCTCACTACGACTATTAGCACTGTTGTAACTAGGCCTGGCATACTACACACACAAACTGTAGTAGGATCACCAACGTGATGAGGCTCAATACACAGGAACACGCACATTCACACATCTCGCTACTACTAGGCGAACTGTTGTAACGAGGACTGGCATACTACTCACAAACTGTAGTAGGATCACCAACATGATGAGTCTCAGTACAGTACATGCACTCAAACACACACACGTTCACACATCTCACTACCACTATTAGCACTGTTGTTATTGGGCTTTGGCTATAACTACAAGCACTGTTGTAACATGGAATGTGGCTTGTGGTCATAACACTACCACTACAAGAACTGTTGTAATGCAGATTGGCCACATTATACCACAAATTACACACATCATATATTGCTATCAGCTTCCTCTGTATTGCATCACAGGTTTTGTGATGTACTAACTGTTGTGGCAGGTTCTCACGTCAGATGTATTGAAGCATTGTTGAAGAGAACAATTGGCGGTCATTAGACCCTGATAATTGTAATATCACATAAAATGGATTCTATGTGGAGACGGGTATAGGTATATCACACTAGTTCACAATGAGCATATGATTCCTTACCGGGCTACTAGATTATTTTGTGAAGAAGTATTTAAATAAATATATATTAAAAAAAAAGAGAATATTTTCCTAGTATAATCTCTCCTGCGGCCAGAATAGTTGAGCCTTTTCTGAAGTAAATATAAAAGGCTTCACCAGGCTCACAATTATTCTCCCACTAGGGTCTGCCCCTACTTCATAAACGAACAATTCTAGTTCGACAAGTCAAACTGCTTGGAATGCGAGATATAAAAGCAGACCCAATTTACTGGTTATTAATTTACTAGCATGAAAACATGAACATAATTCTAACTTATCAAATTACTCATCGATGTCACAATTATGATGAAACTGCACAGCTTAAATAACAAATTATACTGAATCACAAGGCTCTGAACATCAATGGAAAGACCTGGGTAAAGCAAGCTCACATGTCCACCCAATACAAAGTACACCACTGGACCAAACTAGCAGGGGCATGTACCTGTCACTCAGTTACTGTTCATCAATACTGTGTATCTATCAGGTACCAACAGCTGTATATTAAGGTGTCATGCACCGTAACTCTTAATAATAAGAACACAGGAAAGTATTTAGAATGTTTGTATACTGCTGTGTGAGTGTGTTGTCTCATTCTTCAGCCTTCCTTATGTACATCACTACCACAAAGCAGTTACTGCCATAGATCATTTTAAGCTTACCCTAGCCCGATACTCTGGTCGGAAGCTGTATGCCCTGCTTGAATCTTAATAACACAACCTACTAATAATATATATAGTACATTTCTTTGCATAGAAATATACAAACCTTTCATATCTATCATTGAATGAAATACATAAATGTATCGATTCATAATATCATTAAAGCCAGAAAACGATAATTACTCAACCTTATATTTGTTCATTGCTGGGTGGTATTTTAATGTAAAATAGGATCTTTGGATGTAGAAGTACAAATACTTAAGTGACAGACATAAATCTGCATACTAACCATGGTTTTAATGTTTAAAATGAACACTACTCATGTGACATGCGTCCCTGGTAAAATGGTAAAAATATGTGAACATCATGATGTGATTCTACATATGAAAGAAGCCAGATCATCATGTCGTATGACAAACAGATCCAGGAAATTACAATACACGTCAATATATACCTGTGTGTACAGTGCTTTGTAAAATAACTTCTCTCAAAAACAAAAGAAAGGAAAAAAAAGGCTTCCAGATAATTATTTACATCTCATCTGTTAAACATAGCAAATATTGTTCATTGTGCATGTGGCTCAAAATATCTCCACAAAAATACTTTACATGAGATTTAGATAGACCTAATACATATACTGTTGGTCTTGTATCTTTTTCTCTCATTAATATATCCTAGTACTCTAAAGAATGTGTATGATTATGCTTATGAATCTTATCCAGATAAAATGCTACATTAAATATACTGGATCTCCTGTCCCTGTGATTAACATTGAAACATGACCTCTTGCTCGACTTTATTCAGCAACCTTGTCTACCTAGCTTTAAGTTGATATTTGATCATAAACATGAATTACCTTTCAGACAATCCCCGGCAACATGAAAGTTGTCAGTTTAATATGACAACATTTAATAACAGCAGAACACATTTTCAACCTCTAAAATCTGTACTTACAAGCTTATCAAATAATGAAGCCATCAGCTGTTGCCTATCGATTTCAAGTCACTGAATTATCACCAATGTTGAAACTTCAAGGCAAGAAATAAACACTCAATCGCTTAAGAAGACATGATGGTGTATGTTTATGCTGGTTAAGGGTGTAGTAATGGTACTTACTCGCATTCATTCACACAATTTTCAAAAATCTCTATGATACACCTATAACAGCTAAATACATGCATGCATTTCACAAATGTACACATGTTTATAATAATACAACAATTTGTACTAATAATAGAAAATAAATATCACATAAAATTCTCGTCTCTCTCCCATATTGGCTTTATAAATGAACTGGTAATAACTATAACAATGACTTGTAAATAACGGTGGTGGGTGAACGCTTGAGCACCTGTGAACGGCTATAGCAAGTTGTGACCACATCGTTACTGTAAACCACATGACAGTCTGTCCTTCAGAAATAATGTGTAGAGGAGAGATAATCACAAAAACTGTTAAAATCTTAGAGACAGTTCACCAGCATCTCTCCCTGATATCTGATCTTTGAATCACAACACAGATGACTGATGAAGTTGAAGATTTGAAGAAAAGTCCCAATAGTCCTGTACACGGTTGTAGCTATATAGTGTCCACAGGCTTCCACAAAACTTCCTCCTGACTACGAAATGCACGCCAACTACAGCAGAGCTTCACAACAAATTCTATATCACAGACTTGGCTGAATAACGGCACATTTTTGCCACACTACTTGTCCCCATTTACAGCTGGCTCGTTCCAGTCCTTCGATTTGTTGGGGGAAAATGATGCTGGAGGTTACACCAATTTCAAGCTAGACTAGCGAATCTTGTTTTTGAACTTGAAAGAAAATCTCATCAGCAGGAGAAATGGAAGTGAAACATGAGCTGAAGCCTAGACGGGCAACACTATGTGCATATGGTAAAACAGATGATAATGAATACATGTCTGCACCTCGTTAACTGAGGATCACTTTGAATTTGGTTGTCTTCGACTCTTTAAGTTCTTGCTAAGGTTTTCCTCTTCCTGACAATCATTGCGGAAACTTGATACTTTTTCTGCAAGACAAGTTTCAAAATAGTGATTGAAGGCTGAAGACATAAGATATCATTGGTGATGAGTTAAATAGTAGTGATATTAACACATTACTAAGGCCAAAAAAAATTGATTACTTGGTTCTCAGGATCATGCGCATTGCCGATTTTATCGTGAAAGTAATAAAAAAAAAATCATGAATACGCCAGCCGCCATCTTTAAAAAAATCCGGAAAATTGGTCCGCATGTCGTTTTTACTCGTTCGTCACCCAAGTCCGGAAAACGTTTGAATAAAGATAAAGATTGAGATACAGGCAAGCGTTAAAACGATTATGACTTATTAGTCTTGTGTACAAATGGCACTCATTTCGGTACAAATAAGGAATGGGGGGTTCGTGATTCTCGTCTGGAACATCGTGGGGGGATTTTCGGAGGCTTACTCTATGCCAGGTCTCTACACAACTATAAAAAGACAAGGTAATGCCCACAATGAACGTTTTACAAACTACACAATAAAAAAAAAATCGCCCTCGTCTCGTTTTTGCCATGTACAATGAAAAAAAAAAAATACCGCCCTGCCGCATCTTTTTTGAAAAAAATTGGCTTGAGAACCAAGTAATTAATTTTATTTGGCCTAACCAATCATACAGCAAGATACACTTAAATTATCAATAATGAATCGCACAAACTCTTTCACATTATACAGATCACCAAATTTTTAAGTCATAATACAAAATTATAGAAAGGACTCCAATCACAAATATTCTTATTGATATTCCTACAATCAAAATATCAATCAAAATATTTGATACTAAAAGAATTGTAAAACTAAAACCTTAGAAATAATCAGTTCAAGTTTGATCATTAAAAATATTTAGGCATACCTCTCAGAGCCGTTAGTGTTTGGATCTTTCTTGCCAGCAGGTTGTCCAGTTGTTGTGCATAAGCTGAAATGATAAATGAGGGATATTCCAAATTAACAAGAAAGTCGTTTCAATTTGATATTATTTGTTATCAACATTAAGTAGTGAACTGACACTATTTCCAGCTATCATTTTGCAGGTACATACTATAGCAAACCTTAAAACACCAAATTTGAAACTTTTCTGCCACTTTGTAAGTTGAGCATCTGGGGCCGTATTCATGAAGCCGTTCTCATGCTCAAGCATAGATTTTGTGCTCAAGCCTAATTTCTTGTTCTGGTTACAACTCAATAAACAAATCGTATTTTTTCAATGATTTGGAAACATTTTAAAGAAACTTAAAGCCAAATACTGACACAGATTCCATGCTTGAGCACGAGAGCAGTTTCATGAATACGGGCCCTGATCTTCCTTGGTTAAAAAATATGGCAATTTAACAGGCTATCATTGATAACATCTTTGATTTTGTTTGTTTAGGTATAGAAACTTGCTGTTGCATTATCCGACTGTCTTCATAACGAAACACAAATTCAGTTTAAGATCTAACAAGAGGCAAAATAGTCCTGCATCACTCATCTGGTATTAATCTGATACTTGTAACCTTAAAAGTTGACTCAAAAATAAAGCTACAGTCAATGTATCAGTACCTATGGAGAGGTCATTTAAAGGTTTATACACATTGGACCATGTGACCTTGTTAGTGGATCAAGGTCATCACATTACCAACATGATAACTCTTCATCTAAGCATTTTACGGGACAAATATCAGTACTCTATAGATGCCATTTTGGTTATTCTGCAGTTGTTTAGTCTTTTATCAAGACATTTGACCTCTGTGACCTTGAATATGGGTGAAGGTCACTCATTTAAACAACATTGTAGCTCGTTATGTGTGTTACTGGCGAAATACCATTTGGTTATTCGAAAGATGTTTTTTAAAGGTTTTTAACATTTTGTTTAAGTGTCATTATTTGCGGTGATACCTTCAACATCATAGTCCACATCGTCTGTCGCCTTGTACAGTTTCTTGTCTTCAGCTAGCCATTTCTGTGTTATCTATATAATAGGAAAACAGTGACGATCAATAATATCAAGGCAAACTTCAAGGGCATCTCCTAAGTATGTCATTACGCCATGCAGCTATCAGATTCTTTGAAACCGTAACATTTATCAGATTATAATGACAACCATTTGACCAAAACTTTAGGATAAACACTTAATATTCTCACATCTAATAGAGTTTCTCAGTAAGGGTACCATGACATGCATGGTAGAGAAGCATATAGCCTACTCCGACCTGTTACCTGTAAACAACAAGGTTACCGCGAGCGGTATATAATACGCCGTCACACATTGAATGAGCAGTTGTTTGTATGATTGAAATATATGAAGTATTTGTGAGTAATTGATATNCCGCCCGCCCGCCCGCGTGATAACATAATACGTCCCCGTCTTTGACGGGCGTATAAAAAGCTTCAGACTGACCTCTATAATCGACTTGTGGTCATCTATAACCTCCTCCTCTATTTCCTGCATATGGTTGACAACTTCGTGGAATGTCAGCATTTCATCCGTGACCTCTTCCTGCAAACAAATATTGAAAAGTAGGGGATAGGCCTTTACACGTGTATGAAAATAGTCTCATTGTGCGATAGATTTCTAAAAATAGTAATGGTAACCCTTAGGTATTTTAATGTGACCTCAGCCTCTGGAGCAAATCATCAAAATCTTTGTTTCTTACCACACTAAGGGATGGAGATTTTTAAAAATAATTTTGCAATTTTCTCCATAACTTTTGCTTTAATACTCGAGTTCTATTTACACAGACTTTCAAACATGTCAAGACCTTAATTAGGCTGTTGATTAGGTTTGTTGCTAGTTTGTTTAGATGCAATTTTGGAACAGGCAATCAGTTTCATAATCTTATGAACAATCTACCATTTCCTCTATCACCTGTTTTTCGCTTCAGGGAAACATTCTTCCCAATGGCCCTCTTGCCTCTTAAATTTTTCACAAAACCTTGTCTTTTGGGAAGCAGTGAACATGATGTCAAAGAGTACAGATTTTTCATTTGAGTTACCGGTTTTTAACTTACACTAAACAATCTCACTACCAGATCACATAGTGCCGTAAATTAACTTTGATTGCTTCAAGGGATGATGTTACACTTTAAAATCATTGATGTTCTTAATTAATGAAAAGATCATGTAATTTCAGATTACGTTTGATGGATTTAGGTTAGATTTTAGTGTATTTTACAAGTGTGAATTTAATTCAAACCTTTCCTGCAAAAAACTGGTATGACTCAAATGTACTGCAGTGCAATATCGATTATGTCTGAACTGCATTATAGCGGTTTTTCTCGGTATCCATTTCACCTCTATCAACCTTAACTTTGATCTTTGAACCCTGAACACATCATTTTTAGTGTTCTCATTATTGAACTTTTTATTTTGTTTTAATTTTGTTTTAATTTTTCAAAAACAATGTTGCCTAAGTGACAGACTAAAATCGTAACATATTCAATAAATAGTAACATTGGCCTTGATCTTAGAATCCTGAAATATGAACTCATTTGAGATATTCTTGTACCTCATCGTGGTATAAATTCTGATCAAATCTGTTACGAAATGAGGTTGCTAGAGCGATCACACTGAATATTGGGATGGGGCAAAAGGTTACACAAAGCGACACGGGCAACACTTCAGCTCCCAACCCCCATAAAGTGGTGGGTATTATAGAGAGTCATTCAAATATTAACAGCAAAGAATCACAAGGGTCTATATATGTTTTCATGCACTTAACAATCACTGTGTCTTACATTGGAGGTTTTTAACATCTGTAGATCACTGTTTTGTGGAGACATAGCACCAAGGTTGTAGTTGTTGGGTAGGGCCACCTCTGCCGGCTTCCCCTCCACAGGTCCTCCTGGTCCTAGCTCTTTTACTCTGTAATACACAAATCATCAGTTTGGTTTGGTTACGTTTGTTTGTGTTTTACGTCCTATTAACAGCTATGGTCACTTAAGGATGTGCCAGGTTTTGGTGGTAGAGGAAGGTTGGAGTTCCCAGAAAAAACCCACCGACCAGTACATGACGACTGCCCCACGTAGGCCTCAAACTCTTAACCCAGTGGTGGAGGGCTTGTGGTAGCAGATTGTCAGACGCCTTAACCACTTGGCCACCGCGGCCCCACTCATCAGTCACCATAACAAGAGATGTAATGGTCATATCTAATACAAGTAAAACCATAAGTTACAATGATTTAATATTCAACAGAAAGCAGATTTCTTTGTAAAGAAACCTGTCTTTAATTTGCTAGTTTTTGTGACCTTGGAATCATGTGCCATAAACAGAAAATATAATATGGCCGTCGGTATTTCTAACCTGTGATACTAATTTGAGCTTCATTTAGATTTTGCCCTTGAAGTCTAACACTAACATAGTGGCCTAACACAGATATACATGGCACACATTAGTGATAAAAAGATTTGTGTAATTTTCATAAAAAATATATGACACCATGTATAGCTATTTAATCTATTAACTTTTCTATTTTAGGGAATGTTGATCTCAAACTGTGTTGTTGACCTTCAAATACAAGAGTCATATACATCTTTCCATGATTTCATGTTCAGAGATGGGTTTTTTTTAGAGAAAAATTGAATCTAGTATTCAATACTCAATAACACATTACTACGTGAGCACAGAGGTGTGCAAGACATTCTCAATACTAGGTAATACCAACCTGTCAGCATATCGCAGTGTGTTCAATACTCAATAACACATTACTACGTGAGCACAGAGGTGTGCACGACATTCTCAATACTAGGTAATACCAACCTGTCAGCATATCGCAGTGTGTTCAGTGTGTGTTCACAGCAGCTCATCCCCGGAGAGATCATAGAAATCTGTAAACATCAATGGAGTTTCATAAGATAATTTCCTAATCTATAGATATCTCTGATGTCAAACATGAAACCAATGTCATAAGATCATGAAACAAGAGATCTCAGAGGCACCCACCATCGTGGGTTCTGGGTAAGACTGATAATTTCTCTTCCTTTCTCTAATTGGATGGACCAAGTCATGTGAACAGTCAATACACCCTCTGTTAACTGATAGCTTTCTACAGAAATGTATTAGCCACCCATCTGCAGTAGCGTAACTGATTGTCCTGAATACTCACCATACATGTCCTCGAGTTGTCTCCTATAAAGGAATCTCGTAACACCTGGGTCAGCTTGCTAGCACGGAATGGCTGGTGAGCCCCCTTCCTACTCAAAGCTCGGATACACTCCTGGAAATGCCAAGTTTTTCAATAATGCAAGTTATTTGAAATGACTGAAAGCGCAGCTGAAATTTCACGTAATATTCAATCTGTACAAAATCGTTATAACAATTGACGATTTTAAAAAATTCACATTTCCACGTGGTATAATATTTCTCCTCTCTGTATCAAATTCATATCTCTGTCAGTCCCAAGCCGGTGAAGACTACTTAAATGCCAGATGGACATGCTTTATATTCCTGGCTATCTTAACCACTGACAAGGAGACACTACACAAGAACATCAATGAAGCCAGACAACACTACACAAGAACCTTAGCGGAGTCTGAAAACACAACTGACCTTTAGTGCTAAGAGACTTTTGTTAATTTCAGCACCCTCCATCCTTGTCTGCCTGTCAGCACTTGATGTGTCTGCTCCGCGTTCATTACCTGAAGTAAACAGTGGATATGTAGAAGATGAAATACTTCGAAGGAGTCAGATTAGCTACATTTGGACATCAATAATCCGGACATTTAGGTTCCTCAAGAAATTGTAAAAATTTTCAAATTTCTGGATATTAAAACAAAAACATGACTTATGCAAATCACGAAGCATTAACGGACAGACAGGCATCCAGCATGTCTATATCTTCCCTAATTTTTTCATCCAAACTTTCAGTTTTTTTAAGCTATGATTTTTTATGACATGCCCGGATATTCGTTAGTGTGACTTACAAATGAGTAATGCAAATTCATAACTTATCAAGCTTTGTGAAACAGTCTAATGAAATTGAAGTTCTGAGTAAATGTTGTAGAAATCTGTTTCTGAAGCACGAGTGTCTGGATAAACAAGGTTCTGTTCACGTTTATGAAGCAGGCATATACTATAGTCATTGTATTATTACCAGTACACATTTTATATACATGTGCCAGCTTTAAAGGACAGAAAGTGGAATCACAAACCTGCCAAATCAATCAATGAAAACTTCCCATACAACTTATTTGTATTCCTGAAAAAAAAAAGAAAAAAAAGAATCAATAGATGTATAGCTAGTAATTTCAAACTCCTTTTTAATGCGGTGGCCCCCTCAGTCTATTTTATTTACGATGTAAGGACCTGATTTCCATGAAAACTGGTGCCAAAAATCTCTTCAAGATATGTCAACACGTGCCCGTGAGTATGTCAAATGCAAGATGTGTATGATAAATGCTTTTTTTTCATTGTTATTAACAGTGAGGGATGTCAGATATGGTGATTGAGATAAAGGCACCTCTCAGAACTTACGGTATAGGGGCTTGATTTTGGCGTGCTGATGGCTTCAACTTGCTATAAACATAGGGAAGATCATTCAATTTGCTATATGAATATACTGTATAGGGTAAATGCCTAGTTTCATTGTATCTCATAAAATTCTACAAACGTCAACTTTTTCTTTATTCCATTTGACAACTGTACATAGTATCAATCTTAAGACAAATTTTAAAAGTTAATCCAGCAGTAATGAATCCTATTTTTAATAGCCGATAATCCAAACAACATCAAAATGTACACAAACAAGTAAAGCATTCATTAAAGGAAGGCACGGTAGTCTAGTGGTAGGACGCCGGGCTCGCGACCAAAGGGTTGCGGCACGGCACTGTGTTGTATCTTTGAGCAAGATACTTTACTCCACATGTTCCAGTCTACTCGGCTGTAAATGAGTACGTGGTTGGGCAGTGCTAGAATTGTTGAATGCTAGCTGTTAGCGCCGAAATGGCAGCTCCGGCTGTATGCTCCCTAGGGAGTTGAGAAAGATATTTGCAACTGAGAAAGATATTGGCTGGTTGCAAAGGCCCTTGATAACCACGGATAATAATTTGTGAACCGCTTTGAGACGACTTACGGTGTGATAAAGCGGTATATAAGAACCTCAAATTATTATTATTACTATTATAGTTAGGACGGCATACCTTCGTCTGAGGATAATTTGAAATACTGCATGTGACCTAGAGGAATGCTGATTGGCTGACGTTGTCCCAGATGTCCGCACATTGTTGCCATGCTGAATGAGACGCAAGACATCATCTGGATTTGAGATTGGTTCTTCTTTGAGCCCAACAATCTGAACCTGTTGCTTGTGATCCTCTAGTACTCGTAACTTTTGTTTTTTATTTAACAGGTCAAATACCTGAAAAGGGGGTGAATTAGCATTGAATATTGTTCCTAAACCTGATTTTGGTGTCTGTACTAAATTCCAATGCTGTAAAACAACCAATGTGAAAGCTTCTACAGGTATATCAATTTCAAACCTTTGTTCATTTTTCACTTGCAAATAAGGCTTGCATGTTAACATTAATTTTCACTATGATTGTGTGTAGTTTAACAACAGTTTGGAATTTCTCTAAACATATATCCAGCAACAATTCTTAAAGACCACAAACTAACTTACCATTAAGAACAAGAAAATTAAGAAAACAATGACATTTCGGCATATGACACTCCACCATCTCAAGATGTACTCACTCACATGCAAAATTCGGTCATTTCAGGTGGACGAACATACAAGATATGCCCCCAGTAGCACATGGCATATAGAGGTTCCAAAATAAGTGACGGTTGGTTATTATGTTTATCTAACTCGAGTTTAGTTATTTATAATTTTTAAACTGTATTAAAACACTAGAGGTTACAGAGTGTATTTTACCATTTGAAAATTAACTAATAGGAGTTGAATAAACATGATAATCAACCATCACAAGTTTTGGGACCCTTCCTCCAAAAATTTTTACCAGGTAGATATTATATGTAGAAAACCTTGTTTCTCTTGGGAATACATTATTCCTATTTCCGATCAGGGAAACAATTGCCAAAGGTTTATCACACGAGTCTGGAGTGAGGAAACCTATAAATATTGGTTGTTGGAGAAATGCCAGTTATACATGGACAGACTGACAGATGGAGTGCCATTCTATAGTCCTGTCTGCTAGTGCTGAAAGGGGACTAATCAAGTACCTCTGCTATCTGATATCTGGAATAGCACCTACACTAACATGTTTTAGACTTTGATCGAGGGTTACATTTGATTATCAGGTTGTTGTTTTTTTGTACTGACGACTTACCTTTCCACTATAAATTTCAAAGAAGCTTGCCCCTACAATCAACTCTTGCTTCTTATACTTGGTATGGAGCAATTTGAAAACATCCCTGGCTGAAAATGAAAATATAAGCAGAAGTTAGGCCATTTTAGAACTACCCAACATGAGAAATGAGTCACAGGATGCAATGGTACAGTTTCTGAAGTTGAACCCCACAATAAGGAAAATGATCCCTGTAGAGGCCAGCTTCTAGTGTTTAACTCATCCCTCCCTGATGACACATTTGAACTCTTCCAATTCAAAGGTTGGAATAGTTGAAAATTATAGAAATAATGATGCTGGCATTGTTGATAATGTAAATGATGTTGACCAATGGTCATCACTAATTACATCAGTGGATTTGAAGAAATCCAGGACCTGTTACCTAGATCATACCCAGAAGTGTGTTAACTTCTACTTTTTAAAATTATTTACTAAATGTGTAGACTGAAGGGGTAATTCTAAGCCTGAATGAACTTCAGACTAGCAATATTACTGACTTACAATTCAAATCGAAAGATGTCAATATTAAGATTTGATTTCATGATTAATTTCATCCATCAGTAACAGCTATATATTGATGATACTGCCTTTTATTACATACTTACTTATAAATACAGGTTTTTTGTATATGCGATACGACACAATTACCCTTACCCATATCAGCCCTCGCCGTATCACACCCCAAAAGCCGTATCAGCCCCCCAAAACCTGTATCAGCCCGCAAAACCTGTATCACACCCATTTTGGAAATTTTTCGTTTTTCAATATTTTAAAAGAAAAATAGATCATAAGAAAGTAGCTTTTATTAGTAAGTATGTAATAAACAGAATAAAACATGCCTTTTTCCATATCACACCCAGTATCAACCCTCGACCAATATCAGCCATCGGGCCTTCGGCCCTTCGGCTGATATTGCAGTCTCAGGTTGATACTGGGTGTGATATGAAAAAAGACATGTATTATTCTCTATGTAAATATGGGTCTTAGGGAAATGACTTATTTGACCATGGAATCGCTTTTCCTGTAAATTGATCATTTAAGGAAAATTCAAAGTCACTTTCAGATACAACAATCTTTTCACTGTTTGTTGCTAATAGTAAATCCCCTTTTTTGTATCTGCATATCATTTGATAATAAACACAAAAAAATATTCCTAAAAGTTATCATTGCTCAGCTGCAATAAGGAATAATTACTTCACAATCTCATATTAACAGAGGGAAAAGCAGCATCAATAGAGTTCAACATCGGTTTCATGTACAATAATTTGCATTTATTTTGTTTACAGAAAGTCATAAAGAAAATAAATTACAAATTAATTTGACACTGATTTTTCTATCCATTTGCAAGCATTATCTTCTCAATCAGCTAATGTACTGTAATTCTATTTGTGCACAATGACCATTTAGGCCAAAAAAATAAAAATAAAATACTTGGTTCTCAGGCCAATTTTTCAAACGAGATGTGGCAGGTAGGGATTTTTTTTCTTCATTTTACATGGCAATTTTTTTTTTCATTGTGTAGTTTGTAAAACGTTCATTGTGGGCATTACCTTGTCTTTTTATAGTTGTGTAGAGACCCGTCATAGAGCAAGCCTCCGAAAAATCCCCCCAAGGATGTTCCAGGGATGAATCACGAACCCCCCCATTCCTTATAGTATTTGTACCGAAATGAGCGCCATTTGTACACGAGACTAATAAGTCATAATCGTTTTAACACTTGCCTATTTCCTTATCTTTATTCAAACGTTTTCAGGACTTGGATTTTTTTTATATTACTTTCACGATGAAATCGGCAATGCGGTGCCCTAAAATGAAATGCTCGCGGGCCTGAGAACCAAGTAATCAGTTTTGTTTGGCCTTACTGGAGCAGGTCTGGAGCTACTACAGGGCGACAGGTAGAAACACAAAGCACCCTTCTATTTTTATTGTCTGACCAATCTATTACACCCTGTCTCATATGTGTTACAGTGTACTTACCAGCTAAACAATAAATTCCTTTTGAACAGTCCTGCTGTCCCTTGACAGAAAAGTCACCTCCCATGGTCTACAAAGATAGGTCCATACAATTGGTACTTGAATATGGTCAATTGCTCCTAAAACCTCTTTACAATAACAACAAAAACTCTGAAATTTCAGGTAAAAGCTTCAAAAAACTAGAACTTTTACAACAACCCTCCTACTTTGAGAACAAAACTCAGGAAATGCCAAATCAGAAAAACAGGCATAACTCCAATAAAGATATTCAAAATCAAAAAAACAATTGCATGTGAAATACAGTGGTGAGTTTATGTAAATCAGTATTATAATTTATCATGACTAAAGTAAAATAATATTTTTTTACAAATTACATGTCCTGATTTTCCTGATATTTGAACCCTTTTAAAACCTAGTTCACTGTCTGTGCCAGGTGTTACATATTACTACTTACATGGGTTTTACCACTCCCTGTCTGTCCATATTACTCCTTACATGGGTTTTACCATTCCCTGTCTGTCCATATTACAACTTACATGGGTTTTACCACGCGCTGTCTGTCCATATTACTACCTACATGGGTTTTACCACTCACTGTCTGTCCATATTACTACGTACATGGGTTTTACCACTCACTGTCTGTCCATATTCCTACTTACATTGGTTTTACCACTCACTGTCTGTCCATATTCCTACTTACATGGGTTTTACCACTCCCTGTCTGTCCATATGCAAAACAGGTGGCCATTCCGCCTTCAAATATACACTCCACTAAAGGCTTGGCAGTGTACCTACAGGAAATAGAAAGGAAAGGTACCCTGATCAGTTACATTACATTCACAACAATTGATCAAAATGTGATTTTGTTTGTTCAGAATATTTTGTAAAAGAAAACAACAGTTCTTAAACTTTTCTTGGCAGCAATTTGACAAAATGACATTGAAAAAGTAATCACTTGTAATTCCTAGAATTAAACTTTTCATGAATTTATGAATAAAGATTGATGTTGAACAACAGGAAATGTTGTCTTTTAGTTCTTGAGTGTGACTGCAATAAGGAGATGAGCAATATTAATAGTATATTAGATTCGCTCAGATGTCATCGTTGTAAGCTAGCTATTAGCTTGTGGTGATGTATAATATTCTTTTCTTCTTTAGTATGCTGTACACATACAGTGTATAGTGGGTTTATTCGACACTGGGAAAATATATCTTTAAAACTATGATGCAAGACATGAACGCTTCCCACTCCCATGCTATTGATGTCACTGTTTGACAAATTTCTATAAATAGTAAGGGTGACGGTGAAAACTTAGAATATAAATTCATTTGAGATACCTGACCTTTGAATTAAGTTCGATAAAAATCTGTCACGAAATGAAGTTATTAGATTACGATCACTGAATATTGTTTTGATAAATTTCTATAAAAAGTAACACAATGACTTTGACCTTGACTACACAAAAATGACATACAATATCATTTGAGGTATTCTTGTACTTGACCTTTATCAAGTGGCTAGCAAAATCTGATAAAAATGAATTCAGTAACAGGATGATACTGAAATGGGAGGAGATCAAATGTGATCTGATGGGACAGGACAGGACTGACGGACATGGGTAATACTATATGCTTCCCCATTGCAGGGATGTAAGAAAGCCAGAAGGAGAAATCATTGCAGTTTACAGTTAAAGTCCTGTGAAAGGTTATAGAATCAAATACAATAAAAGTGGAAATTTTCGTGTTCGTATATGTTCGTTCATGTTGTGACTCTTTGAACTAATCCTGGTGTGCATTGTCAATGGTTCTCAAATCAAACCATGTTTAGATCTACAAATAGTCTATATCTATAAATAAATATTTGCATGTGAATATTATCACGATAATTCACTAAAAGGGAAAACCGTGAGAATTTCCACCTTTACAGTAGTTTAAATCTGTTCCAAACTAAAGTTACATTTACAACAATGCGACACCAATCTACTAAAGTTTACCTATACACCATCTCATTTGTGCTATTCTCATCAAAGGAGTAGTCATAGCGGAAGTTCTGGTTCTCAAGATATTTGGTAAGGTCCACCTTCAGTTTTGGTTCGTGAACTATCACATTCTCTTTGTTGGGAATTGTTAAAACATCAACATCCTTTTTAGCCAATTCTGTAGAAAACAGAGAATTAAGTATTAAACAAACTTTACATCTACACACTTTCTAAAAATACCATAGCTATATTATGAAATCATGTCAAGATTTTACAAATGAATAATGCAGTTAAAAAAAAAACCTATTTTTTTTTACAAATTTTCATTATATTTACCAGGAAACAAACTTTAAATTCTTCGTCTTTTTTATCCATTTCTCACAAAGTTGTTAAACAACACCAGATATTTCCATATTAATAGAAATTTTTCAATATCTAACTTGACCAGTTTACAGGTAATTTGATCCATACAGATTATTTTACATTACCTTTCTTGTTCATAGGGCGCTTACGGACACAAACAGATATTGTATGGTTGACAATTGGATCCGATGACGTCAATGGACGGAACTCTAAACTTGTACGGTATTCACTGTGGTGAAAAATCAGGGGTAAATTCACCATGAAACATGTCAGTCATTTCTAATCATAATTTTTTGTTTTGTTTCAAACTGGTAAGTAAGAAAAGTCAGAGTGCAAATTTTTCTTGCTTTCTTTTCAAGTTTTAACCAAGAGGAGGTATTCAATTCCATTATATAGCTATTCAATAATGTGAAATACTACTGGTAAACTGACTGTTGTATGATTATTTTCAATCAAGTTTTCAGCTTCATACTTCAAAAGATTTTGAAGTACCACAGGATGACCCCTACTCTCACATAAAAAAATCAGTAAAGCAATAAATATTTGAAATAATAAATCAAACAACTCTTTAAGGGACCAATCATGTTTATACTAATTTTATTATATATCAGTCAAGAAATGTTTAAAAGTATCTAAGTAGGATAGAAATTAGGAAAGGAACATAACCCCCTTATAAATTACCAGATTAGAAAAAACAAGCATTAATACAAAACTTCAATGTATGTTAATTGCATCCGTGAAGTTTTCACAAAATTTGATTTCAAATGGTATAAGCTGTACTAAGCAGATGTGGCTAAAAATGTTGCAAAAGGGGCATAACCCACATAGTGCTGTGTATGGACCGACAGACAGACAACCTGAGTCCAATACTCCTCCCTCCCAGACCCTAAATTTGTTTTGGGGGTATAAACACAGTATAGCAGAACAAATCACAATATAGCCTGCTGCATTGTAGTGCATGTTTGTAATGCCGTTGTATATATGATTATAACAAAATGTTCACAACACAGTTATTTCCTCGAGTCTATCCACTAAACTGATTCAACCTCTAAGGTAAGAAAGTCTTTAACCTATGAATACATGAGGATTTTGATTGCTTGGCTCATGGACGTGGCCAGTACCATAGTTTAACAAGCTATTACTATAAGTGAGCAATCCTGCATTCACATGAAGCGATGAACTCCTATCATACTACTACATGTACAGGTATACAGAATCTACAGTGACTGGACAGGATCAAACTCATCTATTATTTACTCAGTATCAATATTCCTCGTCACTGGAGATACATGCCTTGAAAGAGTTCCAGGTACTCTCCAGCAGGCAACATCAATAATTAAAACATGTATCAACTGATTAAAGCTACACATGCTGGGTAACTGTTTACTTAAGTCAGTTGGCATGAAATATTAATCAGCACTTGTATAGGTTGGGATGAAATATGGATTTGCTGATTCACCATTTTTTCTTTCTAATATTGAATGCAGTTATTTGATGGAAAATATCAACCCTCCCTTGGTGATCCAATAACAGTTAACACACAACTTAACTGTTCAATTGGTTGTCCTAGACATACAACTTCACAAACCTTGCATTTTTGGCCTCGACTTAGACAAACAACCCCAAATCCTCCCAATGAGATTGTTCGTAAATCATGAGTCCTTCATACCAAATCACAATATCAGCAGAACCTATATTTATCAAACTTACTATGGTCCAAAATCCTGTTACGTAGAAATGTTATTGTACAATAAATTCAATGGAAAACATCGTGTATTCTAAACGAATGCTGTGCCTTTTTGTCCCAATCCTCAAAAATATTTGCACAGCAACGTTAGATAATAACCATATCAGAGGGCATCCTTACTTGATCATTGCTATAAATTCCCAGTTGGGGTCACTCATGTCATATTCACTGCCCCGCTCCTCCTTGATGGCAATCTGCTGGGCTCTGCGTTCCTCTCTTTTCAGTCGGATCTTATCGACCTCTTTGACACAGTTAGATTTCCTGCGAGCTACAATTTCAACAATCATTCCGTTATGAAATTGAATGCTGTCATCTTTTACTTTTTCACATGTAAGTACATACAGAATTAAACTGAACATACTCATATACCCCCCAGAAAACATGTCTGTAGACTTTATCACCAAATTTGATCTGTAACATCAAGAGAAGGTCAAGGTCAAACTAAGAACAAGTAAGATTGCCTTCCAACAAAGAAAGCTAGCTGTGTTTTTCAAAATCAGTTCAGGTATTGTTATTCATATGAACAAATTTGATAACTCTTTAAACTATAAGCTCCAGACCAGATATTCTGACTGTAGATATATCATAGATCTGTAAAGGTCATTCAAAAGTTGAAACACATTTGACCCTTTAACTTCAAAATGGGTCAATGTTATTCATTTTGATCAAACCTGATAACCCTTGAACTAAGAAAGATATACAGTCAAAGAGTTTTCCTCATGTATGAACAAATCATTTTAAAGAGCAATTTCATAGAATTTTGCAAAATATGTATTTAAAGCTAAATTACATAAGTAAAAAACATATTAGAACATATTTAAAAGCTTTTATTTGATGTTTGTGATTTGTTTTAGTAAAATCTGATGCAACACTTTATTTATGGTATAGAAAAAGTTTTGCCTGCTGCGTGAGGCAATAATCCCCACAATACGTATATCCAGTCACTATGAAACATTATGGAATTTTATTATTTTAATTTCAACTTCAGAGTTAGTTATCCATTTCAATTCTTACCATAATATTTGAGTGATGCATGTTGTTTACTAAAGACTGTTCCAGAATGAACCGTAGGGGAGGAGTGAGAGGCACTTTTTCAGAGACCCCACCAGTGACCACCCATAAATATAAAAAGTTATTTGATATAAGGAACGGTTGGCAGACCTGCGTTGAACACAACCACCCATAATGTATTATAATACAGGTGCCTCCCACCTCCCCCATACAATAAATTATGGAATGGCCCTTACCGTAAATGTTAACAGTGACATAGTAACAAACCTGCTGCATCCTTTGAAGCAGCTGCTGCTGCGGCTGCTTTCTCTGACTGTCCATTCTGTGCTACCACCGATGGCTGAGCATTGGCTGCATAACTACGCCTCGACTTCGCTGAAAGTGGTGCTGTCAAATTCAAAATAACAGTGAATTGTAAAGAAACAAAATTGTATAAATAACAAGAGGCCCAGAGGGCCTGTATCGCTCACCTGGATACCAAAGCAATCATGGCAAAATATTCTCCGAATGAGATCAAGGGAATATGCCAGACCCCAAGGCCAATCCTTGTAGCATATCTGTACATGTATTAGATTCTTCATGTCTCCAAGGATGGGGCCAGACCCTATAGCCATCCTGGAAGCAAATGTGCATTCTTCTCTTTATACTCAGCAATTGTATACCATGGTTATATGGTGGGGATCTCAACCATTTCCAAGTAATACACTTTTTTTGGCCCCACCCCTTAGCCCGGGGGGTCAGCCCCACCATTTGTATAATTTTGAATCCCTGCCTCCCATGAATGCTTCCGACCAAATATGATTGATATCCATGGCATAGTTCTACAGTAGAAGTCGTTTATAGCAATATAGCCAAATTGCCCCCTTTTTGGCCCCGCCCTCAGCCCCACCATTTGTATGAATCCCCACCACCTAGGGATGCTTCCAGTCAAATATGGTTGATATCCACTTCTTAGTTCCAGAGAAGTCGCTTAAAGCAATATAGCCAAATTGACCCCTTTTGGCCCCGCCCCTCAGCCCCCTTGGGGGTCAGCCCCACCATTTGTACAATTTTGAATCCCCACCACCTAGGGATGCTTCCAGTGAAAAGTGGAATTCCAATCAGTGGTTAATAAGAAGAAGTCGTTTAAAGAAATTGTTGACGGACGGACGGATGGACGACGGACGCCACGGTATGGCATAAGCTCATCTTGGTCCTTCGGACCTGGTGAGCTAAAAATGAGAAACTTTGGATCTGCAGTTAAATTATGCAACTTCTACACGAAGGCTATATGGGGAGAGCAAGCCTGAACCATTTCATCATATGAAAATAAAATTTTGCTTTATTTTAACTTTTACGACCTTGAGGTTGACATTCCAAAAAGAATAAATTCAATGAAGAGCACCGGCAATTATGTTGAATCTGAGACCAGAATGGCAAAATAAGCATTAGAACCAAGCAACTTAACAAATACTGAGTAAGACATTCCAAAGCAACTGTGTCTGACAATCATAGGGGATATCACTTCTAGCTGGGGCAACCNACGACGGACGAAAACGGATAGCAATAGGTCACTTGAGCTAAAGCTCAGGTGACCTAAAAATCTAGCTTGCTAATTTATTAAAATATCCCAGTTATTTAATGTTTTTCTTTGGCAAACAGCTATCAATAAAAATATACAAGTTCCACTGCATAATAAATTTCTTTTCTAGAAATTGTTGGGGTGTGGTGTGGTATTTTAGATTTCATGTTAAACAGATAAAATAAATGAGCCATGTGGAATGAAAATATATTTATGTAAATCATATGATTTCAATCAAGTGTCATAAGGGGAGGTAACACAGCAACATAATTTGGTAAACAGGCCAAGGACTTTGTATCGTTCACATTTCCAAATATCTTACACAACGTAATTATCAGTAGATAAACAATTGTTTTGTACCATCGTGAAATTGGTGGGATATAAATACCTTTCCTACCAGCTTTTGGTCCATCTCCAGATTGTGCATTTGGAATTCTGGAGCTCTGTTAAAAAATGGAAACAATAAATATATATATATTATATGCAAATAACAATAAACAAATATAGTGTATACATGAGAGAGTGCTGCTTTCTTGCCTACTGAAAAAATATCCAATCGTGCATTCTAGTCAATGTAGTTCAGATTCTATTAGAAATGGAGAATATATAAAACTGAATTTGGCACATTTTCAAGTCGATTGTTTAGTATTCCCCGTTTCCTCAACAACAACAAAAACGAAGGATAATCTATAATAATCTATTATCATCAGGACAATACTAAATATCAATGACTTTATACTCAAAACACCAGTCATGTAATTAGTGATCATGAACACATGAAGTTATGAAACACAATTTAGGTATCTAAAATTTGAAGAAAATAGCAAAACAATTTGTAGAAGCTAAACAAAAAATCAACATCAGACATTTTAAAACACATTTATTGTGTCCACGTGCCAATAGTTTTACCCTACCTGCAAAATAAGTTAACGTTCAATGAAACAATTTCTCACTCCAAACTTACCTTTGAAGATTGGCTTTCACGCACTGGTTGCGCAGGTGTTTGGAGATCTGGATTTAAAGCAAATATTGCTTCCACCTCAATCTATAAAATATTTGATAATGCTATTGAACTTCATTTCGTTTGCATAATTGTAAAAATCATACTACTAGGAATAACCTACATATATACCTGGTAATAATAAATACATATACTTATTCTGCAACTGCATTTTGGTGTATATGCAACAAATAAATTTGTATTATTTACCTTTATTCAAAAGCCAATTATAAAACTGGTAAAGAATAGGATATGATTGTGAGTTAATTATATATATATACTAAAAAGCCACTAAATTACTTGGCAATAGTCCAATAATTGTATATTACCTCTTTTCCTTTAGTTTCCCCTTTCTCAAACCATTCAACTGTGACACTCCTCATCTCAGGATTCACCCCGCTGATCACAGCTGAATGGATACGACCTGTAATTAAAAAAGCAATCAACTCACAATATTGCAATATTTTCCATTTATCGTTTTTAAGGTGTCTTAATAACTTCTTAAGTTTGGATATATAGGACATGCAATTCTCCTGATAAGTTTGGTTAGGTAAAGAAGAAAACATGGCACGTCAATATCATTTTCCATCACATCTTAGGAATAAATTGCAACAAATATGGAATTTATCTTTTTGAGGAATGTAACCATGCTAGCGCAGATAGTTGTTAATGTCCTACAAAACACATGGGTGTGTCATAGGTAGATGATACTGTTCTTGTGATTTAGTGCTAATATTTATACCCTGCCAGGTATTAAATTGATCCTATGCCTTGAAACGTAGCAAGCCGGATGTGAATCACATCCGGGGCGATTTTGTCATCGATAGCACATCAATGCACTGGTTAAATTGTCAAGTTTACAAAGTGAGGGCAATGGAAATCTGAATTGACAGCCACGTTGCAAAATTTCTCTCTTCCGATAAGGTGGCAGTACACATATCGGATCGCTTTTTGTAAAAATACTTATAAATCAATAAATGTGTCAGCAAATCAGTTATAACAATGATGTAATCTTAGAATAGATAGCCATGCACCATTTTTTGTTTACAAATGATTTTCTTTTTAAGTTCAAATGCACAAGAAAACGTAATTCAAACTCAAATGTAACTGTTTTGATCACATTTTTAAAAAATGGCGCGTGTGACGACTATGCATTAAGTTTTGGACCAGCACTAGAAGAATAAATTCACACTATAGGAATGGTTTTTGTCATGTAAATTCTAAAGGTCATCATAAAATGGTAATATGCTGACAAAAAAAATATTCATTTGAAACATAAGATACTGCAAAATTCAAGCCTTGATCCGATTTGGGTCCTGACATTCGCAAAAACCGGAGACGCTGATTGGTGACTTCAGAACGTTCCATAAATATCTCAAGTGGGTCCCGAGTGCTCCCATTGAAATCCTTCTTATGATAAAACCATAAATGAATATATATTACTCCTCAGATTTTTCAATGATTTAATAAAATGATGGTTTGGTGATCCCATTTGGGTACTGTCACCTTATAGGTCAGACGTCTATATGATATGGATGTTTTTCCCAAAGACGGACTTGGGTAATTTTGCGAGAAAGTTATTTTATTAGTAAGTATGCTTTTCAAGCAGATTAACACTAGGCCTACTGTAAGGCCTAACAGATGATAGAAAGAATATAATAAGTTTAAAATTGTAGGTTCCACGAAAATACAAGTAGTATCATGAAAAAGCATGACTGGTAAATTGGAGTTGTGGTTACCATATTTCCGTCTTATTCGACCACAAAATCATCCTCTCTTTATAACCATGCATATATATCCCACTTTCATGCAAACCAATGTCAACAAGACCCTGCGGGCCGCTTGCGACCTACATAATCATTTGAATATTACCAAATGCACATAAAACTAGTCTGTCAGCTTAACGTTGTATTTCCTTAATGCGAAAAATGACATAAATACAGCTATCAATATTCAAGGCGATTTCATGAATCTTCAGTATTCGCTGTACCACATTTTGACATTTCGATATTTCTGCATGTGCACAATTATTTGACAGGCATTTCAAAAACGAAAAAAACCATAAGATTGCCACTTAAATAAATGTAAATTTATCGCTTTCATGTATTTGTTATTATTGATCTACAAAAGCAAGGAGACATGATGCAAATATATATGACAATACAATATATTTGTGCACAAGCTTATAGACCCGGCCCCGGTAATATTTCTCAGTAGCAACGAAGGCCGCGACTTTTTCTATCGATTTGTTGACCATCTTACCGTCGGTCCGTTGAATGTCGACATTAACGCCGACTTTCAGACCCGCCATATCCATGATGAGATAAAGTTGTTTCCCTGAAGTGGAAGAGAAATCCCAAATTCAGGCTATAGAATTAAGTATATGAGTAAATTCATGCGAATATTCACATGTCCATTGGGTCATCCGTTGAGAATTTTTCAAACTCTATGTACGCATGCGCACGATGTTTGAGAAAATGTATTACTCAGCTCGAGTAAGCTGAACCATCACGTCATACAAACTTGTAGGCGCACTGCAAAATAGGAAAACAGTCATTATCATATCACCAATATTAATGGATTCTATTCATGTTACAGTTTTTATTAGGAACTTTCAACACAAAAATATTAAAACAATGTTAATCCAATAAAAAAAGTGGACCAGTCAGTACAACATCAATTTGGTGAATCGGAAACTTAATTAATCCAAAGTTTACATGATTATGGCCAGTCGCAAGAAACAAAACAAATTAATAATAATAATCTGTTTAATCTCTGATTTAAGGTTTATGCTACGATCAGGTAAGAACATATTATTACAATTGTCACGATCAATAACAAATCCTTTTTTCTAACGAAGTATTCAATAACGATAGATCTCGCGACACATTTCCAGAGACGCCATATATACTAGGACCTACATGGATTTATATTTCTCTGGCATTTCCAAGAATTTTAAAGAAGTTATCCAAAATTTGAGTATTTAGAAGCTTAATTAAACAAAAATCAGGGTTTTAACTCGGTACTTATACACTGCTTGCTCTTATTAATATTTATATTTATATTCATATGTATTATCAGGGACGTATAATATACTGGCCCTGGTATTATCCGGGATCTATCAATGCACGGCATCAAAATGAAAGTTAATTTCCTTGACAAGGGATGTAACTATGAGTCTAAAACTCAAACTCCTTTCTGTCACTGCATCTTCTATATATAACTGTGTTAACTGGAGAGAAAAATGAAAGAAAAAAAGTGTATCCTAGGAAAATCTAAATCTCCTGAATCCACAAATCAATAATAATAAGGTGTTTAAATGTTTTAGAAATATAATTAAACTTGATTTATTTTACAACAATTACGAAACAAATTATTTCAACTTATATTAATCACTCTTGTTGGCCCGGATATTAGCGCGCGGAGTGCCTAAATGTGGGAGGAAACCGGAGTACTCGGAGAAAACCGGCCACGTGGTCGGGCAGGTGACCCCATATCTATTCACGTTCGATCGGGGAATCGGGGAATCGAACCCCGGCCACCTTGGTGAAAGGCAAGTGCGCTATCCACTGCACCACCCCACCAACCGTTTTAGAGAGTGTTGCAGGTACTATACACTTAACTGATCCCGAACGAAAAAAATAATGCGCTCGCAAAAAGTCTAGAAGGGATACGAGGATAGTCATTATAAGTTTGATTGAGAGATGGAAGAAAAAAAATGGTAAGTCATAGGGAAGTGGTGAGATGAGATGAAGCATCGACGAGGCATAGCTCGCGACCGTTTAGGTAATTTCCGAAAGAAAAAAAATCAATGCTACATCTCAGCGTTGGCGGATTTGTCGTAGCGAAGTGATCATGATGCAAACAGGTTGACAGGTTTACCAGCCTCGATATCGATATGTCCACACACCTGTAGAATAAATAGGTAAAAAAAAAATCATCCCCAAAGATGGAATATATATTAGGAGTAAAAAGCTCACCCCAATCATACATGGTGTATACCATCATTGCGGATGACATTTTTACCGAAAATTGATCTAAACCCCTCAGACGTGTAAAATTACTCTGAACACCTCAGTTTAGGTCCAAATATAGCTGCGACAAATTCTCAGGTCCCTGTGATTTTTTTTTTTTATTATAGAATAAATAGAACTCCAATTTTCAAAATTTGTATATGGTAGTGACAATCATATATATATATGTATTCTAATTGACGATATATGCTTTATACACATTGTGAAAGTAGATCACTGCTACCCAGTTCAAAATGACAAAAAATGTTTTCATGCATCTAAACCTAGATTCTCGTCTTCTTTTGAAACGTTTTAAATTATTATATATTTACAAATTTCCCTTTTGCTATTTTCTACACTTCATCTGGTACACTTCCATTTAGACAACATTCTTTATATCCGTTTGACCATTAGTACGACTGAGGAGACCTAAATAGACGCCGAAATGACCACGTGATGCAGTAACTGTTTTCTCCATTGATTTACGAAACCTTTATTAGGTGCACCTTTAATTCATATTTCAAGTGATTATTTAATTTCACAAGGTGGTTGACTCTGGTGTGTCCTTGCAGGTAGGGCGTAAGAATTGTACCTGCTGCCCCCATTGCATGATCGTAAGAGGCGACTAAATTTGGGATCTTATCTTTTCTCTTCTATCTAAACAACTTCTTCTTACTAATGTCTCCCTTGACAATGCCTCATTTTTTTTTTACTTTAGTTGAGCGTTCGCTCCTGTGAGGAAGGCTTTGGGTTCTGTCCCCTGGCCGAGACAGTTTCTACTCCTGCTTAGCGCTCAGCAATTTAGGAGTGGGACGACTGGTTCGCCCGTTGTCAGTATAATGTGACCGGGTGGGGTGTCCTGCTGGGTGTCTTCGGTAGTATGTTTCAGTGAGGTAGCACTATAAAGTCGGCATCAGTTCCGCGCTATCACATGGAGACAAACACGAACATATCGCAGCCCCCCAAAACACACACGCATACACTACACGCGTGCATCTTGCACAAAGGGGAGACCGTCCTTAAATGACCATAGCTGTTGATAGGACGTTAAACAATACTAAACCAAACTAAATCTACTCTGCCGGTGGACTATCAGTCCTAGAGTCAGTCGTTAATTTTGTAGCCGGAATTCACACTGGCACGGTTTAATTGAAATATTAAAGTTTAAGAATAAATGATCTTTTTGAAGTCACAATTTGTAAAGCTGTAAAGTTGTAATGTTGTGTAGCATGAAAAACGTCCATTCCATACCACTTCTAAAGCCCTCCTATATAAATATTGCATCGACCATTCGCAAAGCGTTGACTATTTGTATGAGCGAAGACATTTGAAATACAATACAGACGGCAAGGCCGAACAATGATTTAGGACTTCAATACATATATCTATATGTATAGTCTCCGAGCCTCTAACAACATACGCTATGTGTATACTGGTCATTATTTATGATAAGATCTACATATAGATATTATATTTTTTATTGTTAATACTTATTTATTCTTATATGAAGAAGGAAAGATAAGATTCAAATGTACTTGCTTGACATTTTTATCGTCAGATGTTTTGTAGAGAAATATCAAGAACTTCGAGAATTATTTGCATCTATGCGTCCTCCACCATTTTGGAAACAGTGACGCCCTAATAGTTCTCTTCTTCCGTTTGTCACTGGTCACTTCACTACCAAATACAACGTGGAAGGTGACGACCTGCAATGCAGGATTGCTTTTCCTCAGTAAATACCACCCTGACCAGATTTACATTTCTGATCATCCCACTACCAAACACTACGAAGAAGGTGACGGCCTTCAATTCACGGTTGTTTTTCATCCGTAGCGCCATTCTGACCAGGTTTGCATTTCTGGTAACCTCAATACCAAACACTACGAGGAAGGCGACGACCTTCAATGCAGGGTTGTTTTTACTCAGTAAGTGCCATACTGATCAGCTTTACATTTCACTGTGGATTTTCTACTCTAGAACTTGTTATAAAATATCAGGATTTCCTGTATAAACAAATACACGATTTAACCAGGGTTTTCAACCAAAGAAGCCTCAGTCTACACTGTATTTGTTACCAGGCTACCCTGGCCCAGGTGATAATAATAACATTTATTCAGGGAAAATGCATAAACAACAAAACGATTTCATATAAGTAGGGAATTTATAAAGTTGATATATAATTTACGTATTTGACCTTAACCTAGGGTAGCCCATCCAAGCAATAGAAAGCTTATTTCTGACGGTATCCACTAATTTATTTCCTGGCATAATATGAAATGCAAGTGTCCACCAAGATTCAAGATTTGACCTACATACTTTCCTTGATTTCACAGAAGATATCATCACGGGTGCCATATTCAAAAATCACGATTTCCACCTCCAGAGGAGTAGAGACGTTGTCTTTGGTCATGGTTTCACCTCAGTTCCGGTCGCCATCTTTTCGTATCAAGCTCGAGTTAAAATTTTGTCACTCAACATTGGTACTGTGTTACATTTTCTATTATAACGTCTTTCTGCAATATATTAGCCATGACAGACACTAAAACCTCGTTAAATGAATTCAGATGACATTGACGTTACAAGTTGTACATTGAAGATTCGCTGATGTAGTTGGAACAGGATGACATCATCTAGCCAAAATATTCTAACAACTAAACAAACGCCAGCGAAGTGAATACAATCTCAGAAGGGAATGGTATGTTACTACTAAGGAAAAGGAAAGTTAATTATCGTGAAATTGATGTAATCACTATTTTTATAGAGTTTGGTAAGAAGGTCACAAATATTGTCATCATTTACGGAAATGTCGAAAGCTTATTTTGGTTTTATTTAGCTCAGCGTCCTATTGTCAGCTAAGGTCATTTAAGGGTGTGTCTCCATGTTTGAAATGCATGCGTATCTGTTGGAGGTTTGTGTTTGTGCTTTTGCCTCTTTACAATAGTGCGGATCTGATGCCGACTTTAGAGTTCTTACTTCTACCTCACTGAAATGTCATACCGAAGGCACCAAACATAGCATTTTGCCTATTCTATATACTGACAATCGGTTAACCAGTTGTTGCGACGTTTAGCAAGGAATAAAAACACTATTTTTAAGGACTTTGGTATGGGAACAGATCCTATTGTCTTCTCCACTTGAATGAAGACTCGAACACCAAGGCCAAAGGTGAGGTATTGTCAAGAAAGGCTCTAGGAGACGAAAGGAATATTAGGAAAAGTAGAGAGGGAAAAAAATGCTACAATAAACCGGACACTCTTTGTTTCGTCGCTTTTGTGTTCGAAAGAAGAAGAGGGAATAAAACAAATCCTGCGCAGGGGGTTCCACATAAGTCGTCTCTTACAACATCAAGTGGATAACAACAAGTATATCCTTTTCTCAATCACCGACCTCCTGGGGGTTATCGAGGGCACTTTATACTAGTTATAGAAACGACTCC